AAGCACCTGCTGGCAGTGGACTGTGGCCAGCCCTGAGGCCCTCTGCAGCTGCCAGGTGCTCGCTCACCCGCCCTCACCACAGGGCCTCCCGAACTGTCATCTGCTGTTGATCTCCCGGCCCTCCTGCCTGGGAGTGAGCTCAAGGGAGCAGCCAATGGGTCTGATTCCTGGTCCAAGGACGACACCCAAGTGTGGGGCGGCGGATAAGCCTCTGTGATGAGGCGGAGGGACTGCGCCGACGAGCGGCCGGAGCGGGGAGGCCGAGGAGGCGGTTGCCTGCTGTGGTGAGTCCTGCACCAGGGGCGGCAGGCACAAGCAGGAGGACGGGCTGGATTGGAAGGAGACAGGTCTTGACAATGGAAATGAATAAACGTAGAGAGGACTAGCAGTGAGGCGCAAAGGGAAGGGAGGAGGATGCAAGGGTGGGAGTCAGCTGCTGCCACAGACAGCAGAAGGCCATGAGGGCCGGGGGCGGTGGGGCAGTTCCACTTCTGAGCATTTACCCAAATAAGAGGCAATCACTGCCATGGAAAGGTATCTGCATCCCCACATTCACTGCAGCATTATTTACAACAGCAAAATTTGGGAGCAATCTGAGTGAGATGTGATACATAACATGTATGTATATATCTATGTAAATATATATACATATATACGCACACATATACACAACATAGAATATTACTCAGCCATAAAAAGGGACAGGATAGACCTCGATGGCATCATGATTAAGTGAAATAAGTCGGACAGAGAAAGACAAACACTGCATAATCTCACTTATACATGGAGTCTAAAGAAAAACTGAACTCACAGGTACAGAGAACTCAGGTGGTTGCCAGAGGCTGGGGGCCCGGGGGGGGGGGCAAAATGGGCGGAGGTGGCCAAGCTTCCAGCTCTGAGACACGCAGGTCCCGGGAACGTCCTGAACGGCGCGGCGACCCCAGGTAACGGTGCTGCACTGTACAGCGTATGGAAGTTGCAGAAAGAGTAGATCTTAAACACTGTCACTTCGAGAAAAAAATTCTTTTAACTATTTGGTGATGGATGTTAACTAAACTTTTTATGTTAACTATTTCTCAATATATACATCAAATAGCAAATCAATGCATTGCACACCTAAACTAACACAATGGTATCTGTTCATGATATCTCAGCTAAAATACCTACTAAAATTAAATGCAGTTTCTCAGTTGCACTAGGCACATTTCAAGGTCTCAACAGCCACCCATGGCTAGCGGCTACTGAGCTGGACAGGGCAGGGGTAGTGCTGTTACTGATAACACCTCGGGAAGCTCTGTTGGGCGGCACTGGCCTGGACCATCAGGATGCGCCACAGAAACATGCACAGGGAAATCTGACGTGCATTCACTCGTTCATAAACTGTACTTATTGAGCCCAGTTCCATGTGTGAAATATGCCCCTAGGTGTCCGTCCCGCCTCTCACGCTGCCGCGGCCAGGCTGGGGTGGCGCCTGGAGGGTGACGCTGTGGGTGGAGGGAGTGAGGGTGTGCCTGCTTCACCGCGGGTGGTGCCGGGTAGCAGGTACTAGTGCGTCATTATAAAGGCAAATGGAGGACGGTGTGGAGCGGCTGGACGCCCACTTCTTGAATGGGTTAGTATTTACTACAAAGGGAGACTACTGGTTCCTTCCTCCCAACAGATGTCACCTCGCAGGGGAAGCAGCGCAGAGAAAACCAGAGAAAAGCCAACAGACCTCAGTTCCCTCCAAGCTCTGTCCCCCACCACTCACTGGCTGGGCAGGTCGTTCAGACTGGGGACGACCAAACACCGGCACACCTATCACACGTCCTCTTCCAGAGCCCAAGGCAGGCATCCCGAACCAGGCAGGCACCTTCTCTGATGAAGCCAAAGGAAGGTTCCAGATCTTTCTTACGGCAGGCAGCCATTTCTAAGCAGAGTGAGCAAAACAGACACAGTCTCTCTGCCCCGTGGAATCTGTCTATGTGAGCTCCGGTTTCTTCATCTCCATGGTGACGACTGGCGGCACCTACCTTGCAGGACTGCTGGGGGTCGTGGAGATGAGGCACTTGTTGGGTTGTTTGTTTATGCATCTAACACTCCCTGAGTGCTGCGCACCTGCCCGGCGCGCACAGCCCTGCATAAAGGACAGCTGTGCCCTGCATAAAGGACAGCTGCGGCAAGCGGACGTCTGTATGCCCGTGTGTCGGGGTCCTAGCCTCCCCGTCACCTTGCTTTTCCCTCGAGTCCCTCTCCTCCGGGGCAGCTCACACTCATCGAGTCTCCTCATAAGGGAGAAAGGTGCCCAGAAAAGCTAGCCTGAGGATTCAAGCCAGCATCTTTTCTAGCACCTTCTTTCCTCATATTCTGAACAAGCCGTGGCTGGATTAGCTCCCACCTCTAACTTTCTTCCACGGGTTCCCACACGCAAAACTCCGTATTAACCAGTCGTGCCAGCCAGGCTGAGCCGTGCTTCTTGTGAACTCTCTTTTATCTCCTCTAAGACACACAGTAATCACATTCTCCAGGGAATACTAAATCAAATCAAGCTGCAGCTGCGTCTGCTTGTGCTTTCTGCCCCCGGAAAATTCTGGCAACAGATGAGAGGGAGCGTGTGACCCCCGAGGTGACTGTCAGGGACCTCGGTCCTCCCCACTCCGCTCTGAGTGTGCAGAGGCCTCGAGCTTCAGGTACCCAAGGCCAGCGGCCCCTCCTCGCACCCACAGCGACACCCCGATGTCCTTCTCCTCTGTTTATTCTCAGCACACAGGGAAGGCTGAGTGCGGGTCAGAGGAGGAGGAGGCCTGGGCCAAAACGTATGACGCGTACGTATCTCCTCTGTAAACCAGCACAGAAAAGCTGCTTTTCTTGGCCCGAGATACACATTCAACGCCAGGGCCCAGCTCCAGGGTGGGGCCTGGGCGGCCACCACTGTTCCACCGCCCAGTACCGAAGACGCTGGGACCGCCTTCCAGGAAGCACCAGGGGACTCGGGCACGGAAGGGCACAGCATGGGACACTCGGTGTGCGCTGTGGCTGTGCAGGGCTGGGGCTGCGTTCGGGGTCGGGGGTCCCCCAGCGTGCCAAGGCCCCACCCGTGGAGAACGGGAGAGAGACTCACGGAAACGCACTCCCTTATTCCAGCGGCTTGGACTGCTCTTAAATTTTAACTTTAGGTATTTTTAAAACCTCAAAAATAGAAATCAGAGAGAGCTTTTTGTTACCTCTCTGAGCAGCACAGTGTGGGAATGAGCCCCATTACCTCCGGATCCCCTGAGCCTTGCAGATAGTTGTTTATGGGGTAGCCGGCTGCTGGGGGGCGAACCCGCAGGAGGGAGGGAGGACAGCGAGCAGTGGGGAGCCCTGACTCTGCTGGCAGGTCCCCATCAGCCTCTGACCTGCTGGGGACCTTGTGTGAGCACCCTAGCGCTCTTTGTCTCTCACCTGGACATCGAAAAGGGCATGACAACTGCTTATCCACTACTGGGGGAGGAACAGGTCCATCCACTCAACAGCCACGCGTTTCTGCTCTGAGCGGAGCAGTGGTGGAGACGCCGCGGGCCCTGCTCCCAGGAGGCCCACGGCACCGTCCGGCAGGCGTCACCCCTAGTACAGGGTGGTGGGCCATACTCATGAGGCCCAGAAGCAGTGCCAGGGTCAGGCTGGCTTCCTGGGAAGGCAGCCATCTGGGTTTTTCAGGAATGCCAGCCTGGTGGCATTCTGAGTTGAGCCAGCTGGGAGGGGCCCGGGACTGAAGGTGCAACTGCCGTGGAGGTTAGTGAAGAGCTCAGTCCTGTGCTCTCAGGTGCCTTCCCGGACCTCTCCCAGCCAGAGGCAGGTCCTCTCCACCGCACCTGAGGGGTTACAGCCTGGGGCAGGCCAGCTCGGGCCCAAAGGTGAGTTCAGTTTGAACTGCATGGTACTTGCAAAAGAATTTAAATTAGCTACTGTAATCCACAAACCAGAAAGGGTCATAGCAAAATCCAGGTTCCCAGCCCCCTGGGAATGGTGGGAAGAGCCAGCCGTGCTTGGCTGGCATCCCTGCATGGACACCGGTGGCTGAAGCTCAAAGCTGCCTGAGTTTGCCAGTCTGCCACTCTCCCCACCGTGCCCTGGTGTCCCTCTAACAGTACTGAGGCCAAGTGCTTGTCCTATCACTTCCCTCATTGCAGACTGGAAAGGAAGGTAGAACAATTGTCATCCCCACGTCTGTCCGAAGAGAGCAAAGAAAGTAGGCTGAGGGATCCTGTCCCTCCTCACCCACTGAGTTCCCGACTGAGTCCCAGGGGCTTCTGTTTGAAACTCCTGGTACTCTGGGTTCACTCTATCGGGGTCTTTATCACACTGCATTATCCTTTATGTTTACCCATCAGCCGGCCTTTAGACAAGGGCATCTCTAGGGTACGGGCTGTCTCTTACACCAGAGCCCTCGGGATGACCATGAAAGCCTACATCCACAGGCATGTGCCCGGTAATAAATGTCGGGAGGGGTACATGCACGTGCAGACACATGAAGCACAGGCAGTGAAAAGGGAGAGGACGCAGGGCGGACGTGGGGCGGGCACGCAGAACTGTGGGCGCTGCCCTCGGGCCACAGGATGAGGGCCTGCGTCGTAGTGAGATCCGTGTCAGACTATGGCACCGTGGGTCACAGTCGGAGAGGCTCTGGGTCAGTGGGGGGCCTGGAATCCCCCTGCCAGGGTTCAGGTTTTTACTCTGATGCTTTCTGGCTGTGCGACTTGGGGCATGTCACATAACCTCTCTGGGCATCGATTTCCTTCTCTGCTAAAACTGAGCCTCAGTATTTTTCCAGTCCCTCCAACGCATGGCCTGATTATACCTCCCAAACACCAAGTGGAGACTCTGCTGTGCTCCTAGTGGCCCTGCGGGATCCCCAGCAGGCACTTGTTCTCACCCAGCAGGGTCCCCTGGTATTCCCTTCTGCACTTTCAGGCTACTGGGTAGTACTAAGTGCTTCCATCAGTCAAATGCCCAGGGAGGAATCAGGGCCCGGTACTCACGCCATCAGCCGTCCAGTAATTCCAAACCTTGACCTTGGCCAAACCAAAGGCAGGCAGCAGTCTTGTGTTGCGGAGAACAAAAAAGAGCTGGAGTGGTGGGTGGAAGGGGCACGTCCACAGGGAGGGGTCTTGCTTGCTCTGAAACACCAGCGAGAGAGGGAAGTGGTCAGCACACTTCTTCCCTCCCCAGAGCTCGCCAGCAGCGCCTCCCTCCCCGATAAAAACCCAGAGAGGGCTGAGGGCAGGCAGCCGGGCCCCCTTCTCCACGTATCCGGGGGTAGTGGGGGGAGCTCTTGAATGTCGCTCCCTCTGGACTGACCCTCTTCCCAGACCTGAAGCCGCCAGTGGGGCCCTTCAGCTCCACCATCTAGACTGAATTTAAACGCAGCGGGCTTTATTTAAATTGGCTTTGAGGAAAGCAGGGGAGTGGGGGGGGGCGGGAGAGGGGCACTAGAGGGAAGGACAGGAAAAGAGCCACTGCTTGCCCTGTCTGATAAACCTGGTAACAGAATTTTTCATTCTCTTTTGTTAAACCCTGTTACATTTTGAAATAAAAAAAGATACAAACTGACTCAGGTGTTTGCCAGGACAGAGCCCCCCGCCCTGAGCCCCAAGAGTCATCCATCCTTCTCCAGACCACCAGCCAGGCTGCCGGCTGCCGAGGCCACTAGGGGCAGCATCTCAAGGCCAGAGGGGTGGAGAGCAATTGCTGTCATTCTTGTTCACACCACCAAAATTGTGTCACGAGTGCTTCTGGATGCAGACAGAAAAGCCAGATCAGGGGACCTCTCTCAGCTCTCACTGCCCCTCCCGTCGCTGGTGCCTCTGCTTCCTGCCCGACCAGACCGAGCTCTCAGCTGCTCCCGCACATGCCTACACTGGCTTGGTCTCTGCACCTTCGCACAGGCTGGGCTCTGGTGCAACGCTCTTCCTGTCCTCACCCTGGGAAATTCAGCCCAAGATGCTGTGGTCCCCACTGTCCCCCCCTTCCCTTGACAGAGCTGCCCTCCCCCCCAGGTGCGCCTGCACCTCCTCCCGATGCCTGAGGTTAGCACGCCCCTCAGTGTCCCACAGGCACCTGTTTTCGGGTCCACATCACTGCCCCCAAACTCGGTGGTGAGCTCTTTAAGGGAAGTGGCCAAGGCACATTCATTCTAGAACCCTCAGCATTCAGCACAATTCCTTGGCACATGATCAATGCCAAACAACACTTGCTGAATGAATAAATAAATGGAAAAGTGAAACTTGCCTCCTAATATCTGTCCTCCCATTGAAACTAGGAGAGACTATAAACTGAATCTGGCCTGCACAAGTATTTTGTTTGGCTCCTGAGTGTTCTTGGGGTTGGGGGGGAGGCAAGTTTGGTGCCAACACTTAAAGATGGAGAGAAGTTCGTTCCTCCCAGCTGGGTTCCTGGCTTCTTGGCAAACTTGGAAGCCGCAGGTGGCAGCTTAGAGTCCCTGATGTCCAGAGGGGGTGCTCTCTGGTACCCCAGTCCCCAACACTCCCCACTGTTTACCCCCATCTCACTTCCCTCACTTTGCCTCTGCCTGACCCTTGCAGGCATCTGAGACGAGGGGCTCTGTTTAGGGGCTGAACAGTTACAAGTCCCATGTACCAATGAGCAGCCACCACATCTCTGATACTGGCTAAAGTCATCCCTTTTATTAAATAAGAGTGTTGCCCTGTATTTGAGAAAGTGTCAACAGACTCCTGTCGCCAGGGCCACGCCTGCTAAAGGACAGAGCCAGGGAAGGAGGAGATTGGCGAACTCTGGGGTTTCACGGGCCCCCAGGAGATGGAGGCCCAGGCTCCAGCTGCAGGGAAGGACAAAGGTGGCTTGTTCCAGTGAAAATAGTGTCTTTCAGGGATGGGGGGCTACTTTTGTTAAGGGGGAGAAATGAGTTCAAGGGGTTCTGACTTATTCTGGCAAGTACCACAAGCTCTGCGAGAACTTCCAGTGCTCTGGGCAGCTGTGAGGGCTCCAGATAACACATCTCAGAGTCCAGCGGGTGAGTCTCACTCCTTCACTGAGCTGGGGCCTAAACTGGGTCACTGTGGACACTCGAAAAGGCAGACTGGAGGCTGACCCTCGGACGCTGGCGAGAGGCCGTAACCGATTTCCCTTCACATTCCTGTCAGCAGAAGGAATCACAGGAGGGCAAAGTGGGGATCGTGATGCTCAAAGTCGAAGAACACGGATCGGCGGAGAACTCAAGGCCTCATTAGCAGCTGAGCCTCTGATGTTTCTTTCCACAGAGTCTCTGAGAGGCGGGCACTGATGGGAAGCTGCTGGGGACTGAAGCCAGACGTGCTGGGCACACCCCCAGGGGCCGGGCCAGCACCTTCAAGCTGCCCCTGCTCTCCCACAGCCCTGGGGGCCGAGTCCACTGCGACACCGGTGTCACAGGAAGGGGACCGGGGCGCTGCAAGGGGTGTGGTCTGCCAAAGTGGTGGGGTGAGAATTTGTGTCTGGGTTTTTGGGGGAGGTGGGAGGTGGCGGGGGGTGGAGAGAAACGTCAGTTTGTTGCGCCGCTGATTTATGCATTCGTTGGTTGATTCTTGTGTGTGCCCTGACCTGAGGTGGAACCCACAACCTTGGCGTATCTGGACGGTGCTCTAACCAACTGAGCTGCCCGGCGGGGCCTAGGTTTTCAATTGATTACTTCATTATGTCTTAGTCTGGATTCCCCAAAAGCAGACCCCAAGGCAAGGGGTCTAGTGGAAGGAGTTTATTCAGACAGCAAAGCAAACAGGAGTCAGGCGTGGAAGGGAGAGGGAGGGGAAAGGCGGCCCATACAGAGTGTGCCGAACTAGCCGCTCCTGTGGGCGCCTGCAGCTCCACCCCCGCCTGGCGGGGAGCCACTGTGGGAAGTGCCTCAGAGGGACCCCGCCAGGACAAGGGAGCTGGGGTCCTCTCTGTCACACTGGCTCTTGCCCACCTGTCTGTGCCTGCTGCACGGGAGGCAAAGCAGGTCCCGGAGGCCAGAGGAAATCACCTCCACTGAGAAACATCAGGGCCCGTGGTCTGAGGAGCGGACCACGTGCACCGAGGCAGGGGCCAGGGGCTGAGAGACGCTCGGATGGATCCGCCGTGCACGCGCCCAGCAAACCCTGAGTCCACTGTGCAGCAGGCACTGAGGATGTACCTCGGTGCCCAAGGGTCCCAGCTCTGTGCCAGTATGGGGGGCAAGCAAGTACCAACATCAAGAAAAAAAAATCAAGCAGGGAAGAATTTGATGACAAAAATGAGAGAGAACTATTAATGGCCAATGGAAGGGCTACTTTCGAATGGGTGGTCAGGGAACACCTCCCTGAGGAGGCGCCTTCCTAACTCCTGTCGAAGGGGCTCTTCTCTCCCAGCGACAACCTAACACAGGCCCACTGCCCGCGGGGGCTGCCAGACGGCCTTCACAAGCAGCCCAACCTAATAAATCACTGCAATAAAAAAGGAATGAAATAAACGACACTCTGGGTGGATGTCAAGGGCATTAGGCTGAGTGAACATTACTGATTCCACTTACACAGCATCTTGAAACAACGGAAGGGTAGAGAGCGGCCCAGTGGTCACGATCCCAGGGCGGAAACGGGAGACGTGACGATGAAGACCTGCAGGGGCCGCTCTGCGGGGCTGAGTCGCGCTGCACCTCACTGGCGGTGGTGGGTACACAAGCACACACGCGACAGAGCCGCGAAGAACCTGCCACGCCGCACAGAAGTGCGTGTCTGCCCGTCACACCGACCGCGGTCTCCCGGTCTGATGACGCACCATGGTGAGGAGGGTGCCGTCACTGGGGAAGCTGGGCAAGGGCACGCGGGACTTTTCTGTGCTTTTTTTTAAAAGTCGAGATACAAGTCACATAGACGGGATCACCATTCTAAAGTGCACAATCAGTAGTTTTAGCTTTCACGAGGTTGTGCGACCGTCACCACTGCCCCTTTCTGGCAGATGTTGTCACCCAAAGACAGTCACCCCACGCTCCCGTCTCCCCCAGCCCATGGCGGCCACCAGTCCGCTTTCTGTCCCTGTGGATTTCTCTATTCTGGATGCTCCCTACGCACGGAAGCACATGCTTGGCCTTCTGGCCCGGCTTCTGTCATCGAGCGTCACGTTTCCGAGGCCCGTCCGCCTGTGGACTGTGGCGGACCCTCTCTCCTGCCTTGCGGCTGAACAGCGGTGCAGTGGACATCTGGGCTGTCCCCGCCCACCGGCGCCCGCGCGCAGCGCTGCAGTGAGCACCTGTGTACAGGTTTCCGTGGGAACGTGTTTCCAGTCTCGTGGGCAGGTGCGTCTCGGAGTGGGCTTGCCGGGTCGTGTGGCGGCTCTACCTTAACTTTCTGAGGAGCTGCCACACGACCTCGTTCAGTGGCTACACTTCACATTCTCACCAGCAAGGCGGGAGGGTCCGATGTCCCCACATGCTCACCTACACGTGTTGTTTTGTCCTGCGAGGTTAGAGCCGTCCTAGTGAGTGTGAAGGGATGTGTGTTTGTGGTTTTGATTTGCGTTCCCTGACGGCTGATAACGATGGGCATCTTCCCTCCTGCTTGCGGGCTACTAGTGTATCTCCTGCGGACAAGCGTCTGTTCACAGTCCTCTCTGGTCATATTTTGATTAGGTTGTCATCTTTTCATCGTTCAATTTGAGTTCTTTTCTTTACATATTCTGGGTGCCGGACTCTTACCAGATATGTAATTTGCTAATACTTTCCCCCATGTTATAGGTTGTCTTTTCACTTTCTTAACAGTATCCTTTGAAGCAAAAATGTCTTTAATTTTCACGCGGTACTCTGATTTATCTACTTTGTTGCTGCTGTTGCTTCTTCTTCAGTGTCATATCTAAGGCTCCATTGACAAATCCAAGGCTATGAATATTTATACTTATGTTTCTCCTAAGAGTTTCATAGTTTCAGCTCTTATATTTAAGGCCATTTGAGTCAGTTTTTGTACATGGTGTGAGGCAGCGGCCCAACCTCAGTCTTTCACACATGGAAATCCAGTCGTCCCAACACCATTCTTTGGAAAAACCATTCCCACCTCATCGAATGGTCTCGGCCGCCCTTTGAAAGCCAGTTGACTACAGATGTGTGTGCTCATCTCTGAGTCTCATTCTATTCCACTGGCTCACACCCAGCACCACGCCAGGACCACACAATCTCAATCACCGTAACTTGGTAGTTGGATTTGAAGTTGGAAAGTGCGAGCCCTCCAGCTTTGCTCTTCTTCTCCAATGCTGTTTTGGCTATTCTGGGTGACTTGAGTTTCCACATGCATTTTAGGATCAGCTTGTCAATTTCCACAAAAAAGGCAGCTGGAATTCGGGTGGGGTTGCACTGAATCTGGAGATAATTTGTTTCTCCAGAGGCAACCTGTGCCCCGTCTCCCGGGCCCTCTGGGGACGAAGGGTGCTGGGCACAGTGCAGTGAACACAGTGCTGCCGGTGCTGTGTCCTGGGTCAGCTCACAGTCTCTCGTGTCCAACTTGCAGTGGCAGGAAGAGAAAAAGCCAGTGCTTTTTCTTTGAACCCTGCTCAATATTTAAAGGAAAGGAACATTCTACATCTGTCGGGGGTGCACTCCGTGCCCTAGGGAGCGGGACCCTGAGGGCTGTGAGCACGGGCCCTGGGCCAGGCTGCAAGATGGGCACTCCACCCCACCACCTCCGACTGCGCGGCCTCGGCCAAGCCTAGGCCCTTCTCAAAGCCTGTGCCTCTCCACCTACAACAAGGGGGTGTTGACCTCGACGACACCCGAGGTCCCACGTTTGGTGATAACTGGGGGAGACGGTGAGATGAAGAGAAGGGGTGAGTCGGCTCCTTCTTGTCTCCCTCTCCTAAGAAAAACCCATAGAGCAGGGATCTGGGAAAGAGCCTGGGGCGACGTTCGGAGTCTCTGTCTGCTCCCTGTCCTCAGGCCCCCCGCACCTGGCCCACGTGAAGGACCGGAAGATCGCACTCTCCCTCCCCTCCCCACACCCACGCCTTTGTCACGGACTAATCACGGGCAGAGACAACACACTGAAACACAAGACCAAGACTCACTCCAGTGCCACCTCCACTTACCGACAGGTTCCTGTTGACCAGGAGGCCCAGGTCCCCCGGCGTGTCCGTGTTACGAACGTCCACGTCATGAGGTGACACATAAAGCTTCGTGTTGTCCAGGTCAAAGAACTCGACCTCTGTGAGGCCCACCCACGACGCGCTGCCCCAGGTGGACAGGATTTCCATCGTCACATAGATGGCGTCTTTCATCTCTTCTGCTTTCATTCTCAACTTGTCCTTAAGGCAGAGAAGCATAACGCCAACGGGTTAACGCAGACAGGACGCCTCCAGCTCCCCCACTGAGCAGCAGGCGCGTGCCCCGCGGCGCCCTGGCTCCCCCACGTGCACGGCGAGGACAAGAAGAGCGCCCAGTGCAGACCGTTACCGCGAGGACTGAATGAGCTCCTATTTGCAAAGATCTGAAACACAGCTGATGTGTGCTCTGGCACTTAAGGTTTCCTGCAAAAGGTTACAAATAACAAAAAAGGTGTAAAAGGCATCCGACTCAGTCTGAACATCACGCGTGTCTCTTGCCCTCTACCAAGTGTTCATGTCATGTAGGCATGTCATGACTTCTGCTGGATTGGGCAGATGTTATGGCTGAATTGTGTTGCCTCCAAAAAACTTGCATACAGAAGCCCTAACCCCACTACCCCAAAATGTAAGTGCATTTGGAGATAGGGCCTTTAAAACTAATTAACTTAAAACGAGGCCATTGGAGTGGGCCCTCGTCCACTCTGACCACGGTCCCCGTAAGAGGAAACGTGGACCCCTGAAGGACACCGGGGCCGTGCACGCACAGGGAGGAGGCCACGTGAGGGCACGCGAGGAGGCGGCCATCTGCAAGCCGCGGAGGGAGGCCTTGGGGGAAACCACGCATCCCAACACCTTCGCCTTGGACTCACAGTCTCCAGAAACGTGAGAAAATCAATCTGTTGGGTGTGTTTTCATGGCAGGCCCAGCAGAAGGACACAGCAGGTAACACGAGGCCCTGGACAGGTCGCTTGACACCTGCGGTCAGTTGAGGAACACGGGGCGGCACCACCCCTCTGACCATCGCGTCTCAGAGACTGAGACGTGTGCACGGCGCAGCCCCTGTGCCGTGGCCAGGCCCTGTGTGCACGCGGCAAGGGCCCGCTTCCTCCCGTTTCATTCCTTCCCTGGTTCTGATGCCTGCCTCCTTCATGGGCAGGCTATCGGGTCTGAGAGGCTGCATGCATGACATCAGGAAATGGCCACTCCGGGGAGCGGCTCCTCAGGCCCCTGGGCCCCGACCGCAGGGCTGGTTGCATGCACGGACTGGTCACTCATAAAAAAGACACATTCCCTGCTTGCACATGCCCTCTGTTAATTAGCACTAGAAATCTGCAATGGTTCTGTGAGCAGGGAGCTGAGCAAATGAACAGCAAATGTTCCCTACTTAGTTTTTTAATTAATAGCCAGAGACACGTGCTCTGGCTCTCAGCATGCGTGTGGAGGAGCCGTGATTGCCACCCGATGGGGATGGGGAGGGAGGGAGGTCAGCTCCCAGCTCCCAGAAGGAACCCAGGGCTTGTTTTTATTAGCCAGCCCGCAGACCCACAGCGTCATCCACCTGTGCAGGGCCTGCGTCCAGGCAGCGGCTGGCTGCAGGGGAGGGCCAGATGGGGGGGGGGGCTGCCTTGCTGGATCTCACACCTAGTGCAATCTAAAATGTGCAAATTCCCACAGCGGAGTTTCTAAATGAAGAAGCTGAAGGGTCTATTAACTGAGAAGGTGTCACAACTTGTCAGTGTCGCAACTCCATACCTACTCCTGCTTCTGAATCGCTCAATTTAGGTCCCCGAGGGCGTCTCAGGAGAACTTGGTTGGGCCGCCCTGGTCCCTGACTCAGTGCTACTCTCTTACCAGGACCACCTGCTTCTCCTTTGCAGAAGCTACCCCTTCTCTCTGCTCAGCCACAGGGTTCAGGACGAACCCTTTCTCACCCTGGGAGAAGCCTGACTGGCCTAGGGAATCGCTGTGTCTTGCCCCCCGGACCACCAGAGGCAGTGGTTCGGTGACAGGTATGTGGTCCAGCATCAGATCTGTCAGGGGTGGCGGGTGAGGGGGACACTGCTCTTCTCTCCTGAGTGTGGGGTCTGGGGTGAGAGGACATGATAGGACACTCCACCTACTGAGGGGGTCACAGGGCAAGACCTGGGCCTGGGCACGGTGGTGGGGAGGGAGCTCAGGGGCACAGCCGACACCGTGGAGACTCAGTGTGAGCTGCTGGATGGACCCCACCTGGTCCCACCTGTGGCATTTATTACAGGGCTCTGTCATTTTTCTTCTCTCTATTGTGTAAATCAGTTTGCCTTAAGTTTTCTATCTCCTATAACAAGATTCAATCAGTCCAGACTGGTTTGCACATGACTAAAGTTCCACCACATTTAGGATCGTCAAAGCTAAGAAAGAAACTTCCACGCGGAAGGGAACTAAGCTCTGATTCTTCCAGATTTTCCAGATGGCGAACTTTGAGCTCATGTGGACCAGGTGTTGAACTGCTCTCTCCCCTAGGCCTTTCCTGGTCCAGTCTCAGGGCGGCCTGTGGGCTGTGGATTATTCACTCAGTTTGACAGCCACACACTCCCAAGACCAGACAGCATAGGACACTTATCTAGGGCCACACAACCCTTCAGTGATGATGCCGGACCCAACGCCAAAACCAGTCTGGGCTGGTGCTGCGCTCTTTCTGCTGCCATGAGTCTTACATGTGGCTTTGGACAGGCTTCATGTTAGGTCCCCAATGGCCACTCATGAGACTGGCAGCCCCTCTACTGAATAAGAGAGGCTCGGGCACAGGAAAGGGCAAGAGGGATATGCGGGGCACACACCTCCCGACATGAAAGAAGCATCCCCCAGCCGCCCAGCCCCTGGAGCCCCTTCCTTCTGCGGCGTGTGTCCCGGCCCCGTCAGCACGCTCACAGGGCCCTGCCCTGCACAGCCATCGCGATCCTGTGGACTAGACAGAGACTGACGTCACCTCCTGCATGCAGTTTCCTTGTAGCCATAACATTTTCTATCTGCGTAATCTCCGTCACGACGGCTCCCGTCCTTTTATCCTATTGCATTGTGCCGATATATCATACTTTCCTGATTACCACCATTATTATGAGACATTTGTGTTATTTCTGGGTTTTTTCCTCATTTTTCTCTACTTTCAATAATTCAGCAGCAGACACCTTTGTGTCTACAGCCTCTTATTTCTGTTGAGCGATTTCCTTGGGGTGAGGAAGAGGGATTATTGGGCTGGAAGACACAAGCATTTCTAAGGCTCTTCCTAGTTCCAGCCTTTCTGCTTTTTAAGAGCATTCCACCCACTTACATTGCTGTCAGCAGGGCCAGACTGCCAGCTTCGCTGTGACCTTGCCAGCACGAGAGGTCAACACCAAAGCAATTTATTAGCTCGGCCCATGGGACATGCGGGTCGCTCTAATTTGCATTTCTTGATTTTCCTGTGGGCTCACATGCTACCTATATTTCCTCTTGTGTGGACGGCTTCCCTCCGCTGAAACTTCTTGCTCCACCACATGTATGTCTGTGTGCTGGGGGGGGGGGAGACTCGGCAGAAAGCTGCTAAGGTAACTGCCATCGGAGCAACCCCATCAGACAGAAATGATTGCACCGAGGGGCCTTTCCAACCTCAGCTTCCCCCTGAGACACTGAAGGCATTTGGAAATCCCTGGAAGTCAAGGTTCTCACCTCTGGGTCCAGCATGTGCCCCTCGGTTGGTGAAGCCACCCGACTGACATGGGTAGAGTCACTTTCGATGGCCTGGAGGACTCTCAGAAGCTTCTGCTGTTGTCTGAAATGTGACACGTTTTAGCAAACAGGTGGTAACGAATGGTGCCAATGGAGAACATTCCCACCCCAGGCATCACAGCCACTTCCCTTCCTCAGACAGATGTCACAGTGTGAGAATTTGCATGTAACTTTTGACTCCCCAAAACTCAACGACAGCCCCTCAATATCAGTGTGACACTGGATCCGGGGTGCTCAAGTCCCTCGTGCAGAACGGGGTAGGACCGTGCGTGCAGTTGGCCCCCTGCATCATGGACTCCCAGCCCTGGATCAGAAATCCTGCTTCCCATCTGCAGCTGGCTGAATCCACAGATGCGAAACCCAGGGATATGGACAGCTGCTGTATATTTATTGAAAAATATCTGTGCCCTGACCGGCGTGGCTCAGCTGGTCGGAGAGTCGCCCTGTAACTGAAAGGCTGCAGGCTTGGCCCCAGTCTGGGCGCGTACGGGAGGCGACTGATTGATGCTTCTCGCATCTGTGCTTCTCTCTCTCCCTTGCTCTCTCTCTAAAACATCAATGGAAAGAATGTCCCCAGGTGAGGATTTTAAAAAATCCACACATAAGTGAACCTGCACTGGGTTGTTCAAGGGTCAACTACACTCACCCTACACACAGTTCAAAGGTTCACACCAGGTGTTTTCCTCCCTTTATAAATAAATAATTGCGAAAGCAATGATGAAATCAGAGCTAAAGTGAAGAAGCCACCAGGGGCAAGATGGCCAGCCTAAGCTTAGTGACAACCGCTGAGAGTCTCCAGCAGGGGTTGACAAAGTAGAGCCTGCAGGTCAAAGGCAGCCTGCGACCTGTTTTTGTATGGCCTGCCAGCTAAGTATGGTTTTTACTCCTCAAAAGGTGGTTAAGACAAAGACACAACAAGTGAAAGCCTACAGTATTCGCTATCTGGTCCCACCCCTGGCCTGCACACCACTCTGCCCCTCTCGTCTGTAGGTCAGAGACGTTCCACGCCCGGCAGAGTGTCGTCTGCAAACACACCCACGGGAGCCGGTCAGGCCGCGCGCCCCTCCTGCCCCCGCTGAGCATGGGCGCTCTGCACAGTCCACAGTGAGCAGGAGCTGCTCGGTGGCCCGGGGGGTGGCCGTGGGCTGCTGCAAGCTGGGCAGCATGGGCTCAGCCTGGCGCTGCTTTCTGTAGATAATTTTGCCTGAAGACTAGAGGAAAGCCTTCATTCTGATAATAAAACTTGACAGTTCCAGTAACTGATGCTGCATGTTAATGGAACAGAATGCTACATTTGAACACATGTTAACAGAGACAAAGAAAGCCAAAGGATGCTGCTTTGGACCACCAGCCCCTCACCCCCGCCCCAGGCCTGGGAACAAGGTTGCCACCACCTTCTGAGTGGGACACATCAGTGGAAACCTTTGAACAGGTCAGAGTTTTACAAGCTCAGGCTGGACTGAGCTGAACAAGCAAAGAGACATTTGCCTGAGAGAAATCAAGTCAATTTTGCATTTTTGGGCCAGAGTGGGAGTGAAGGAGACCACAGTCCAGAGGAGCAGCTTTGAATGGTAGGGAGTAACACAGGACAAGCAAAGAAACCCTGAGGTCCTTGCGGCGGCACTGCCACAGGTTTCTCATTTTTGTTTTCAAGTGCGCCCGGTAAGTACCTGCTCCCCAAGAGGCCGATTCTGTCAATGGCTTCACTGACGGCTCTGGCTCCCCCTGCTGCCCTGGATGGCTCCTGCGTGCTGGTCACCATGGCGATGGGACGCCACTGAGGACGGAAAAGCTTATTAAACAGATGTCTGAGGTGACACTCCTAGCCCAAGACACAGCAGAGCCATGGTCAAGGGGACATACTTCACTGTCTGACTGCAGGAAGCAGGACAGGAATGAGAATGGCAGCATGTGCCTGGGGCCCATGAGACCTAGAATCCCTTCACAGGAGCTTTGCAAAGAGATGGATCTCAGTGTCTTACGACCTGGGGCGGGGGGGGTCCCAGGAAATGATCTGATTCAATGAGCTATTGAAAAATTTCTCTCTCTCTCTCTCTCTCTCACACACACACACACACACACACACACACACACACACACACACACACTTGTGCCTTTCTCCCTCTTCTTCCCTCAGAACATGCACCTTTAATCTCTCTCCTAAGATCCAAGGGCCCTTAAAAATAAAAACAAAAAATTTCTCGTCAACACCTTTCTCCATCTCAACCCAACCCCTGTTTTGCTTGCTACAAAGCAACAGGACCCCAGGAGAACTCCGGTCGCGTCATTAGGCCCTTCTGCCCTTCCCCTCTTCCCAGTCTACACTGGGAATGCACTCTGCCTCCATCTGCACTGACTGCAGTCGTTGGGAGCACTGCGAGTCAGAGGTCAGGTGGCCCAGAAATCCGGGACCCAGGCAGGGTAGTGCTACCGCCGACCTGCCAGAAATACCAGGCAGGGGCAGTTCCGGACGACCAGGAAGTGACTGAACGAGGAAGAGAAACACAAAGAGAAAACCACCGTGGTGCCCGTGGTGCTGCCTGCCCGCCATCCGGTCCCAGCCGGGTGCCCTCTGCCTTCCCCCCCTCCACGAGTCAGCCTTCTTCCTGCTCCTGGACCCAACATTTCACTCTCACTTCGGAGCCTTTCCTCTGATCCTTCCACCCAAAATGCTGTTCCCTGTGGCTGGCTGGCTCCTTCCCAACAGGCCAGTCTCAGCTCCAGGGGCTCGACCCCCAGGGGGCCTTGCTGGACCGCCCTCTAGGAAGTAGCCACCCTCCCACCCACCCAGTAAGTTCTTTTAAAAAATGAATTTTATTCATTTATTTTTAGATAAAGGAGAAGGGAGAGAGTAAGAGAGGGAAAGAAACATTGATGTGAAAGAGAAACATCAATCAGTTGCCTCTCACAGGCACCATGACCAGGGACCAAACACGCAACCCAGGCGTGTGCCCTGACCGGGGATTAACCTGCAGACACCCAACCATCAGGGCCCGATCAACTTCTATTGTCATCTCTCTGAAGTCACGTGTTCATTTACAGCTTTATTTGCTCATTGTCTTCAAGCTTTCACGAGGCCAGGGGCTAGTCTGATCCGAACTCTGAGCGCACAGCACAGATCGGAGCACCACCTGACCAGACATTCCTGGGCACGGCGTTAATGCAGCTGTGGGTTTGCTGGGGCAGTCTTGCTGAGACAGGCCTCACTGACCCAGCTCCATAAGCTACAACTTATTTGTTCAGAACACAAAGATCCGTTTTTGGTGTTGTCTCCTCAGGAACTAGAAACGTAACAAGGAGCTGGAGTCAGCAGGCCTGCCTGTGTCTGGCTTCCGCTCGCCGCCATGCGTAAGCCACGCTCGCCAGGCCTGCCCTCCTGCGAGGTGGGCAGACCGCCACGCTCAGGGGGCACAGTGAGGGCCATGTGATCCCCACACGGTTATGTGAGGAAAGCTCTCTGGGGACCGTCAGGTGCTGCGGGCATGGGGCTCTGTGCTTCCTCTCAGGCCTTCACTGACCTCAGGGCTCTCCTCTTCCTCCTTCAGCAGGCTGGTCCACGATTTTGCTGGTGGTCCCTCCATGTCCTGGAATGATGAAATCACATGATCTGAGGTCTGAACAAAGCCATCCACTGTATACACTTCCCTGACAGATGAGGGCAAAGAGGCGCAGGAACTATATCCAGATTCAGACAGAATGGTCAGGGCAAATGACCAAGCTCCAGGGAAATGGACAAAGGTGCTACTCGATGAATATTCCAAAGAACAGGCCGCAACAGAGCCCGGTGAGTGGCCGGTGGTCTGGGCAGGGCCTAGGCTTGCAGGCAGGCAGATCCATGCCCCCTCCAAAGACAAGACCTGAGTAAGCCCCCTTGCTTCCCTGGTGCCATTGGGCATCTCCACAACATGGGGCGATGAAACCAGCCCTGCCTGTTTGAGGGTCGCTGTGAGCAGCAAGTGGGGCAAACTAAGACAAAAGGTTTCAGCAGCTGAGCGAGGGCGCACGCTTCTGAGAGAGGACGTGTCCCTCGTACACTGAGGTGCACCCACGGCCTCCGGCACGAAGGGGCCTCTTCCACCCACCTCCTGTCCTGTTCGTTGCTCAAAGCCCGAGGCAGCAGGCACGCACTAGGCACCTGTAGGGCCCGGAGGCTTCCTGGAGAGGCCTGTCTGGCTCACGCTCCAGGGAATGAAATCTTCCCAGAGAAGCCAGAACTTGTCATTCACTCCATTTTTTCTCTTACTTACAGTGTGCAGCCCTAGTCTAATGTGTTAGGATTTTCAGGGAATCAGCAAAGATTGGAGGCTTATTAGTGTCTAGCTTGGGCTTTTTGCGGTAAACAAAAAATGAGAAGGTGGAAGAAATGGAAGCTTTGGCAGGTTGGTGACGCCTCCCACGTCACTCTCGCCTCTCTGCATGCTCGGTGCAAGCACTGCTCAGACACTGCCTGGTCCCCAAGCAGTGGAGGCCTCCCCAGTCCCTCCCCTCTGCCCAGAAACGTACCTGCACCTGCAGCTCGGCGGCGGCGGGGGGCTCGGCCGCCCTGCTCAGGCCCGAGCTCTGCAGGGCCTCGTTCTCCACCTGGATGGCTCTGAGCACGGCCGATGCGTCTTCCTGCCAGTCCCCCGCCTGGGGCACAGGTTTCCGTGCTGCCGATAGGGGTCTCTCCCGCCGGCTTCCAGGTCCTGGGGGCAGAGACAGGGGTCTCCCTTTAAACTGCATTTTCAAAGTGCAGCTTAAAAACTGCCAGACCCAAGCTGAGGAGCAACCTATAAACCATTTGGCTTGTACTCTCCCAAAACGTCAAGGTTATGAAGGACAAAAAAAGCCTTCTGGAGAGCCGTTCCAGACCAAAGGAGACCGGCGGGCATGGCGTGGACATGGCAGCGACCCCGGGACTGGGCTGTGGGCGGGAAAACCAGCCGTAAGAACGTTACTGTGGTGAAGGGAGAAATCTGAACACAGTCTGTAGCTGAGGTAATGGTATTTCATGAATGCTCAATACCCTAAATTCCCTAACTTAACGGGACTGTGTCAATATAAAACAAAAGCCCTTGTTCTCAGGAGACACAGTCAGCCCTCCGTTCTCACCTGCAGACTCACACCTGTGCTACTTAGTCAGGCCCATGACAGCTGCCTCTGAACGGAACATGCAGAGACTGTTTTCTTATCATTATTCCCTAAACGAGGCAGAATGACAACTCCTTACGTATCATTTTCGTTGTGTTAGGTACTCCAAGTAATCCTGAGAGATGGTTTAAGTGTACAGGAGGGTGTGCGTCGATTAAATGCAATTACTATGTCCTCCTATAAAGGGGACTTGAGCACCCATGGGCTTTGGTACCTACGGGGGTCCTGGAACCACTCCCCCATGAACACAGAGGGGCAACGTACATACTGCAATGTCCAGGGCCGAAGGGGAACAACACAATTTTTAAATCCCAAGTGATTAAAAAACAGACACAGAGATGATGGGAAAACAGGCTGACACCCGGAGAGCAGGGAGCAGGCAGCAGGGGGCGCCACTGGCTCTCCGTGCCGCTTCCCTTTGAGTGTAAAATGCGTCAGTTAAAAGTTATTAAAGCCCTGGCTGGCATAGCTCAGTGGATTGAGTGTGGGCCTGTGAACCAGAGTATCGAGGTTCAATTCCCAGTCAGGGCACATGCCTGGGTTACAGACCAGTTCCCAGCAGGGGACACATAAGGGGCAACCATACATTGATATTTCTCTCCCACTCTTTCTCCTTCCTTCCCTTCCCCTCTCTCTAAAAATAAATAAAATATTTTTAAAAGGTTATTAAAAATTAGCCCTCCAAAGAGCGTCTATAAGAAACAATATACATCATGAAAAATAATGGATATTTTGAAATATTTTTGCTTTCATTGTTTTTAATCAAGGAAAACAAGAATTACAAAGAAATTACTCAATTTAAGAAAAAAATTACTGCAGATTTCCAGCCAAGATGGAGGCATAGTAGATACAATCTGCCTCCTCACACAACCAAAAGAAGGAAACACCAATTTAAAAACAAAACAACCAGAATAGCCAGAAAACCGGACTATATGGAAGTCTGACCAAGCAGTTAAAGAAGGAACATTCCTTCAGACCAGAAGGTGGGGCAGAGATGGGCAGCTAGGACAGATAGAACCAGGAGGTTCCACATCTGCGTGCGGATAAACCAGGAGGAACAACTGGGGAGTGAGACAGACCTCGAAACCCAGCATTCCAGTGTGGGGACATAAAGCCACAAAACCTCTGACTGTAAAAACCTGTGGGGGTTGCAGTGATGTGAGAAACTCCCAGCCTCACAGGAATTCAGCGGAGAGACCCACAGGCTCCTAGAACGTATATAAACCCACCCACCCAGGAACCAGAAGGGCCCAATTTGCTTGTGGGTAGTGGGGGAAGTGCCTGAAAGCCGGCTGAGAGCCAGGCAAGCAGCACTGTTCCCTCTCGGACCCCTCCCCCACGGACAGCGTCGCGGTGCAGTCACGTGGGTTGCCCGCCCTGGTGAATATCTAAGGCACTGCCCATTACAGCGTAACAGGTGTGCTGAGACAGAGAAATACAGCCAAAATGAAAGAACAGATCAAAGCTCCCAAAATAGAACTAAGCGATGAAGAGATAGCCAACCTATCAGATGCACAGTTCAAAACACTGGTAATCAGCATGCTCACAGAACTGGTTGAGTGTGGTCACAAAATAAGGGGGAAAGTTAAAGCTATGGAAAGTGAAATAAAGGAAAATGTACAGGGAACCAACAGTGACGGAAAGGAAACTGGGACTCAAATCAATGGTTGGACCAGAAGGAAGAAATAAACATTCAACTGGAACAGAATGAAGAAACAAGAATTCAAAAAAATGAGGAGAGGTTTAGGAACCTTCAGGACAATTTTAAACATTCCAACATCCTAATCATAGAAATGCTAGAAGGAGAAGAGGAAGAGCAAAAAAATTGAAAACTTATTTGAAAAAAATAATAAAGAACTTCCCCAAGGAAACAGACCTCCAGGAAGTCCAGGAAGCTCAGAGAGTCCCAAAGAAATTGGACCCAAGGAAGCACACACCAAGGCACATCATAATTACATTACCCAAGATTAAAGGGAAGGAGAGAATGTTAAAAGCAGCAAGAGGAAAGGAGACAATTACCTACAAAGGAGTTTCCATAAGACTATCAGCTGATTTCTCAAAAGAAACCTTGCAGGCAAGAAGGGGCTGGAAAGAAGTATTCAAAGTCATGAAAGGCAAGGACCTACATCCAAGATTGCTCCATCCAGCAAAGCTTTCATTTAGAATGGAAGGGCAGATAAAGAGCTTCCCAGGCAAGATAAAGCTAAAGGAGTTCATCACCACAAAGCCATTATTATAGGGAATGTTAAAGGGACTTATCTAAGAAAAAGAAGATCAAAACTATGAACAGTAAAATGACAACAAACTCAAAACTGTCAGCAGCTGAACCTAAAAACAAAAACAAAAACAAACTAAGCAAACAACTAGAAGAGCAACAGAATCACAGAAATGGAGATCACATGCAGGGTTATCAATGGGGAGGGGGAGAGTGGAGAATGGGGAAAAGGTACAGGGAGTAAGAAGCATAAATGGTAGGTACAAAATAGACAGGGGGAGGTTGAGAATCATATGGGAAATGGAGAAGCCAAAGAACATATATGTACAACCCATGAACATGGTGGGGGAAATGCTGGTTGGAGGGGAGGTGCAGGGCAGAGAGGAATGAAAGGGAGAAAAAATGGAACAAATGTATTAGCATACTTAATAAAATATATTTTTAGAAAAGAATAAAAATATTGGAAAGGTACAGTTGATTTTGGAAGTCCTAATAGTGGAAAGTTGGTTTTATAAAGTATAAAGTGAAATGCAAAAAGCACCCAATTAGACTGGTTCAATAAAATGAATTATGGCACAGCCACCTAACAGTGGAGTGCTATGTGGCTGTACAGAGAAAAGCAAACTAAAATATCTACAGTAAAATGATACGATGCCTTGAATTTGCCTTACAATCATCCTTACAATCTGGATTCTTTCTATGCTAAAAAAAAAAAATCTCCACTTGAAAATAGAACTGCTCGACACGTTTCTGCTGGGATCTAGAAAGAGGCTTCTACCTACTGAACTTCATCTCAACAAATATTTGCTGAGTGCCACTCTGCCGAGCTCTGCTCGTGGCACTGGGGACATAGCAGTGTTGGGCAGATCGGGTTGCCCCAACTTTGGGGAGACAATAGCCAGAGGAAGAATAAACAGTACAGGTGTCAGCAGACCAGGGCTAAGCGAGCAGCCTGTGGTGTGTCCCTGGAGCAGCGAGGTGCCTCAGGCTGCAGCAGAGGGGGCGGGGGATAGGCCGAGAGGAGGGAATGGAGATGCAAGGTCAATCAGGGGCTTGGAGGACACTGTGAAATTGTCTCTGAGTAAAATGGGGAGCCGCTGAAGGATTTAGAGCAAGGGATGACTTGATCTGGCCTGGGTGGAGAACCGACTGCAGGGGGCGAGGGGGAAATCAGAGAGACCAGTCAGGGGCTTCGGCGGTTGTGCCGCGAGGCCCAGCAGCAGCAGGGGAGGGACACAGAGCGTGGCCAGATCCTGCATCTACCGCGAAGACAGCCAGCAGGGTCTCCTGACAGGGCAGGTGTGGCTGGGAAGGAGGAGAGGAGCGCAGGATGACTCCGCGTGGGGCCTGAGGAAGGGGACCATGGAACTGTTCTGGTGGAACAGGGGGCTGCGGAGGGAGCAGGTTTAGAAGAAAAGAGCAGGGGCTTGGTTTGGGACCGGCTGGGCCCAGGTGTGTAGGCATCAAAGTGGAGCTGCTGAGCCAGCACGTACACAGACAAGTCAGGTTGGGAGGGAAGTCTGGAGGTGTGCGTTCAACATGGGCAACTGGACTGCATCATTTAACAGTGATGTCAAAGACCGCTTGGCCTTGAACGAACTAACTGGGAATTCACAGGTGCGAGCTCTCGGGGGGTCGTTTACATACATATGGCCTGGTAGAAAGTGTGTTGGGAAACAGCACCCTTCCACCCTCATGACCTCAGGAAACCAGTGCCACTGACTATTAGAGAGAGATTCCTATTGGAGCACTGGACCCTTCCGCTATGTTCTGCTGGAACACTGTGTCCGAATGAGAGTTCAAATAGCAACCTTGAGAATGGCATCAGCAGCTCCCTTGGGCTGGCTTCCAGTACCGCCAGGCGCTGGGTAAGGGGAACTATGGGTTTCTATGGAAAAGCTAAGCTGAAATGGGGGGCTACCCAGTTCTACCAGGTGCCGGGAGAGGGGCCATGGGTGCACCCGGAAGCAGGCTCTCTTCGTGGCTAACACTGAATGAGGGGCTGGGCCTCAGTGAACGAGGGTCAGCAGCCAGCTCCAGGTGGCACCAGCCACATTGCCATTTTGCTCTTTCAGGATAAGCTCAGATATGAAATTTATGTGAAGTCCCCTCAATTTGTTCATAACATACTCTAGTTTTTAAGAAACATTACCAACAGAACCCAAGGGCTGGTGGAACACGGTCCAAGCTGCGTCCCCGGGAGGGACGTGTGCCTGTGGATGCCTGGCCTGGACGGTGAACAGCAATGGGTGGACTTCCCTGTTTGCCCTTCCTACCAGCTACCTGGGCTGCTCGCAGCAGGGGGGTGAGAAGGTAAAGCAAACGGGAGGCCGGGGGGGG